CTCTTCGGTGTTGTGATGCCGTGAATTTTGGGTAGTGACCGACGTTTCGGGGTAACATATCTCCATATTCATGAAAGAAATAGAAAGTCAAAAAAGAAACCAATAGAAGCAGGCAAAAATCTGAGCTCAAATATAAATAATTTTCAGCGCGTACCAAGATAAATACGTAACAAGCAACTAAGTGACGTCACATCCAATAGGATCGAACTCGTGGTACTCACTGCTGTAGTACACGTAAACACATATCTCAATAACTGTTGGAAGTTGCCATCTAGCGTACTGAAGTGTAATTACTAACATCAACTGATAGTCACAGGAGACGAATCTGTCATTAAAGTGCTGAACGGAAGTAAGTATTTGGTAGTGGTTAGTCGCTGGCTTCCCACTGCGGCGGCCCGGGTTCGATCCCGGGTCTGGTCAAGTGGGATTTGTGGTGGACAAAGTGGCGCTGGGGTGGGTTTTCTCCGAGTATTTCGGTTTCCCCTGCCAATCTTCATTCCACCAAATCTTTCATCATCATAATCATCCGGGGCAGGCTACAATAGGCCAATCAGGGGCCGCCGTGCCGAGTAGAACCAGTTGGACTCCACCCGCCACTAAGCGAAATAGAAAAAAAAAAAGTATTTGGGACAGGCCACTCCCCCGTACTTTACATTTCACCATACATTATCATCATTTCAGACGATGATACGATGATATGCAACTTTTAAATCTGATTTCAGGTTCTCACAGTCGTAACCATGAATAACACTATATTCTGTGATGTGACCCCGTGCGATATGGCAGAAGTTTACGGATATTTCGAAGGGATATACTGCCTCCACCTTCAGACAAGGAGTTAAATTTGTTTGTTTCTTGCTGACGTCTTGCATCTTCGAAAGTCAGGTTAGAAGCGGTAAGTTCCCAAGTTCCATCGTAAAGTCTGTAGACTACCAGACGATATGGAGTCACATCTCAGAAGACATTACTATTAGGCCGCTAACCAATCTGCATTTCAGCAAATGACCCACGAGGATAGACGCTGAAAGACGCTGAAGATGGGCTGCCGCTTTCGTAACAGAATCTGCGTGCTGTTTCAATGCACTTGGTTTATTAGTTCTCAAGTTGCTGAGTGGCAGTCGTCGACCTGATAGGCCCGGCACCTCAGACTGTGTTAGCGGATGCCACTCGAGTCTCCCGCTGCCTGGATGGCCCTCCAAGGCGCCTTCATTACTATCGCCCTCGGCGCTACATTGCCCGGGGCAAATACTGTGGAACGACGCCTAATTGCAGAAGGCGCCCATAGGGCAATGCTAACGACGTTCAACAAGTCATGGGAACTTTCTTCAAAGCATCTCTGATTATCCCCTTCCATCTTTACCTATACATCTGCTTAACTGACTGAGAAACCGAGTAACTTCGTAACGAAGTGGCCAATTGTAGGAGGATAGTGTATCGTCCGTTAAGAATTGAACAGAAAATCTCATAATTCGGTATATAACCTATCGTACTAATAATTTATATCATTTTCCTCCGTATTTGTTTCCATATGTTGTTGACAGACGAGTCGAGGCCGACTTTTAATGCCATCTCACATGAATAACACTCACAAATAATAAACTATCTCATTTATATAGTACACTACACTTCGTATAACCACATCAAAATATTTTCAATATTCGCAGAATAGACATGACACACTGAAACAAGCTTTTACTCATTGAATACTATATAACTGATGTTACTGAAACGTGTTAACGATAAAAAGTGGTTTCTATGGTAACCCGAAATTTTATAATCTTCAAGGAAAGCATCCTGTCATGTTATTCTATAAAATTATATTAAAATTATTTCTGTCTCAACATAATAACCATCAAAAATTCATTCACACTTCACAATGATGGCTGTAGTGTTGAGATAGGAAAAACTGTAAATGTAATTTTATATAATAACACATAAGGAGGTGGATTTTTCAATTCGCCTAATCCTTCCAGCTGCACTATGGCCCTGGGGTCAACGCAACCTCTAACAGAAATAAGCACCAGGAATCTTGCCGGGGGGTAAAGGGTGGCCGGCGCTTAAGGCTGACAAACTTATCGCCATTTGTGAGCCAATTGTCTAGAGAAAATGTGGGAGTCTCGACGTCTCACAACCCTATGGGCCTTCATAGCCTGTTACAGGGATAGCTCAACACAACAGGATGTATTCCTTGAAAATTATACATGTTAGTCGCGCAACTGATATATACAAGTTAAGCAGTAAACTCTTATGGCCGCGCCATAGCTCAAGCGGTTAGTCGCTGGCTTCCCACCGCGGCGGCCCGGCTTCGATCCCGGGTCTGGTCAAGTGGGATTTGGGGTGGACAAAGTGGCGCTTGGGCAGGTTTTCTCTGAGTTCTTCGGTTTCCCCAGCCAAACTTCATTCCACCAATTGCTCCACAATCACCCTCACCTATCATCTGTGGCTGGTACAAAAGGGCAGAAGTGGCCGCAGCTGAAAATGGATGCAGGTCTGGCTCCCGAACCGGTCTGAACGCTATGGAGAGCAAACAAATTTCTTGTACTTGTCGGGAATAGAATTCAGGCTGTCCAGCCCGTCGCTCTACCGACTGAGCAATTCCGAGTCCTTATGTATCAGTGGAACTTGACGAAACCATTCGAGTTTACCCAGAGTCATCCACAAGAAACGTTAGAGAAATACGAGGATGTCGGTCCGGAAGTTGGTAATAAGCTGTGGTGATTGAGTTAGGAAGAAAGGACTTGCCACTGGTCTCTTGGAACCAGGTCACTTCACCATTATGTACTTCATTTCCAGGAAAAAAGGACATAGGGCTATGCACTGCTAGCACAGGGGTTGGCTAAGGGCTGCAGGATTGGAGTCCCTACGGGCAGGATATTCTTCTCTTCGCCGGTGTCTAGATCCGTTCTGGGTCCCACCTAACCTCCTGTTCAGTAGATACAGGGTGATCTGTTTAAGGTGGTAAAGTGATAAGTGTGTGGACTAGCTACGGGCTGAACGACCGAGAGGTCGGAGTTCGAGTCCCGGTAGGGTCAAGTTCATTTACTTCTCCATGTTGTTCACACCGGCTCTGGGTTCCACCCAACCTCCTATACAATGGGTACCGGGGGCTCTTTCCCGGGAGTAAAGCGGCCGGGTCGTGAAGCTGACCGCTCACCTCCAGCTAGTGTCGAGGTCAAGAAAATGTGGATCTCTACTTCCAATTAAACATACGCCTTTATGGCGTAGCACAGGGACATTACTTTTACCTTACATTGCGACGGTACAAATTAAAGTGAAACAGATATAGGCATCAAGATTCCGATCTTCTGTGTTGTTACACCGTATAGTCTTGTAGGTGGGTAGTAATATTTCGGAGGAAAATGCAGTCTCTATCTTCAGGATAGATGTTATTCAGATGAAAATTATGCTAGGGCATAAGGGCAGAATAGTACTGAATGCGGTAACTTCGACTGTGAATATGAAGACTACAAGTTTCTCCAGAAAGTTTGTATCAAACTACAAGAAAACACGATGTCACAAGCAAAACTACAATAATTTGAACACTCACCGCAGTCTTGCAGTAGCTCAAACTAGTCATAAAATAAAAATTTTTGTTTTCTTGCGCGCGTCACGTGTAGTGTGGTCGGCTGTTACATCTCAGGAAAGTGTAATCCTTATTGCCCCCACCGTCAGGAGCCCTAAACTTAGATAACATAAGAAGCACCTAGAGACATTTCGATATTAATAATCTAACTCCACGGGTACCACTGCTAGTAGAGGGGCCGAACTCGCTGGCTGAACGGGGATGATAGCGAGCACCAGTACCGGAAGGTTATGGCGACTGGTAGAATATCAAAGGGGGACGTACAATAGATCAACAACTGGTCGCGGTGCATGGGGAAACCCACCCCCTCCAATAATGAATGAATCTAACTCCACGGAATTAGGAACGTCTTGACGGAAATAATCGTTCAGCTGACGAAGGAACTCCCCACACTGTACGGAACCTCATGTTTCATTACTGTTTTCACAAAATCCCACAATTTTTTTTCCTGTCCTCACTCATATAAGTGAGCCGGGATAGCGCAGTCGGTATAGCGGCTTGCTACTGGCTGGACAACCAAGGCGTCGGAGTTCGAGTCCCGGTAGGATTAAGAATTTTCTGTTCTGCACGTCGTCCAGACAGGCTCTGGGGTCCATCCAGCCTCCTATTCAATGAGTACCAGAGGCTCTTTCCCCGGGGGTAAAGCTGCCGGGGCGTGAAACTGACCACTCACCTCCAGCTAGTGCCGAGGTCAAGAAAATTTGGGTCTATATATTCACTCCCCATACTCCTTCATGGTATAGTGCTTAATTAGTTAAGCACAGGGACAACTTTGCCTTCTTTATCTCAGTCATATGATAGCTGACCATATCCTCATACACAATTTGTTTTAAATCGATTTTAATATTATCCTCCCATCTATGCTTCAGTAATTAATTTATTGCTTCTCGTTAGGTTTCCCCCATTGCATCTCAAATTCCCCTTATCTCATACTCCTTGAATTTGTAGCTATAATCATAAGTATTATTCGGTAAAGAAATACAAGTTACGATGCTCCTTCTTGTTGAACAGAAGCTTCGATTCTGAAGTTCCCTTTCATATTTCTCGCAGGACACTAATCCCTCGGCTATAGACTTTTGTTCACAAACCTCGTGTTGATACACACTGCAACTAACCATTGTAATACTCTCCGTTCTTTAGACATCCGAGGGCCGTGACATAACTCAGGCGGTTAGTCGTCGGCTTCCAACTGCGGCGGCCAGCATTTGTAATGGACAGAGTTTACTGTGACAGGTTCCTTCAGAGTACTTCTGTTTCCCCTGCCAATTCTCATTCCACCAAATGCTCCATACTCATCTACCATCCGGGGCTGGTACAACAGGCCAATCAGTGCCCGACGTAATTAAAATTAAAAATTGAAATTAAGAAAGAACAAGAGTTTTGAGAGTTATGTACGGATATATCCGTCAGTACTTACTCTGGCAGTTGGACATGGCAGGCATCCTGAAGCCGAGTGACCCTGATAGCGGATCTGTTCTCTGCAGGGGGTCCAGCGGGCTGCCGAAGTGTCCCGAAAGGAAGGGGCGCTGCCCAAAGGCGAAAGCGTGGAATTGCTGCTGCTGTCCTAGGAGAGACAGCACTACACATCAGACTGAAACCTGCCCATAGGTACACCGGCACAGTATAGTGGCATACTTCAGAGATCATAATGCAACGTGTAACATATGAGAATGACCTCAGTGGATCACATTTCAACACTTAACACATAAGGATGATCTCAGTAGGACACCATATTCCAACATGTAATACACAAGACTGATCTCAGTAGGAGATCATGTTTCAATAATAATACATAAAACTGGTCTCAGTACGAATAAATAATACATAAAACTGGTCTCAGTAGATCATGTTTCAATAATAATACATAAAATTGGTCTCAGTACGAGATCATGTTTCAATACAGGATACACAAGACTGATCTCAAACACTGATCTCAGTAGGAAATCATGTTTCAATACAGGATACACAAGACTGATCTCAGTAGGAGATCACGTTTCAATACAGGATACACAAGACTGATCTCAGTAGGAGATCATGTTTCAATAAATAATACATAAAACTGGTCTAAGTACGAGATCATGTTTCAATAAACGATACATAAGACTGATCTCAGTAGGAGCTCATGTTTCAATAAATAACATATAAGACTGATCTCAAAAGAAGATCATGTTTCACTAAATGATACATAAGACTGGTCTCAGTACGAGTTCATTTTTCAATACATGATATATGAATGATCTCAGCATGAAAACATATTCCATTACGCAATAAATAAGAATTATTTCATGAGAAAATTATATCCCACCACACAACATATCAGAATGCTCTAAGTAGATCATTTTCATCATGTAATACATAAGACTGACCTGCCACACGCCTACTTCCACTAGTTCATTAGCAATCACCATGGAACATGACGATAAATGGGATCTGATTCAGCCATCGTGGTATGCTTTTATATTCTGCATGGTCTCATTATTAATTATTGTAGGAAATTTAAAAGTACGGGCACTTGGTTGTATAAAATCTTATAAGGTTCATGCCAAATTTCTTCAGATCTGGTTAATTAGTTCAACATTTATAGGACACACATATAAAAGCAAGGTGATCTCATAAGTTTACAAGGGGAAAACAGTGCACTAATGTAAAAATAAACATATATGATATTAATAACATTAATCTTGGCAGTAGATTCGGTGGTATTCTTGTTTTCTTGTCGGTGTATACGTGGCTTAGGCCGACCATTCAGTCAGACATCTCAGTGAAAGATGCGGTGTGTGTGCAGGGAAGTAAAACGCCTTGGGGTTCTGGTCTGTGTGAAGCTTGGGTTACCTCAAGACACGTCGCGGACAAGACATGCAAGGTGATAGATTACCTCGTCTCAGGGTCAGCAGAACCCTATATACCAAAGTGGACTAGGCGCCAGTTAATTAGGAGCCTCCAATACAAACCTCTGTTCTCTGTTCTGGTTGGTTTTGTGGCACTCCGTGAGGTTCGAAATTTAGAAAAATTTATTTCAGAACTGGAATGATTAATTTTATTATTAGTATATTCAGTGATAATTCAATAACTACAAATAACATACATAGTGTGAAGAGCTTCAAAGCTTGTATTTATTTGTAAACTAAAAAATATTAAATTTATTTTAGAAACCGTCGACAAATTTTTAATGATGACTGATGTTTTTATTGAGAAAGACTCAATGTATCGAATTCACAGGTCATGATCACGTGGTACAAAACTATAAACTTTATTATTGAATTGTCATATTATCTGTTTTAGGTGTCTTATTGAAATATGGATCAAATTTTCCGTAGGTTTATATTTACATGCTTCAGTATCTATGATATGTGGCATAAATATTTCTAAATAAAAATAATATGATAAAAAGTTAAATTCATACGTTGTTTGATAATACAAAATAAAATGCATATATATAATCTGACTCAGGATAGGGACCAGTGGAGGGCTCTTGTGAACAGGGTAATGAACATTATTTTCTATAAAATGCTGGAAAGTTCTTGAGTAGCTGCACAATTGGCGCCTTCTCAATAAGGGCTCAGCTCCATGAATTTAGTTACATATATTTTGCTATCATATGTATGCGGGAACTTCATCCCCTTTATTTTGTTTCGACAGACTACGAATATTTAATATTGTAACGGATTTGATCGCCGGTCACGATAGCCGAGCGGTCTAAGGCGTGCACTGTCTTCGCTCGCTCGGAAGCCGGGATCGTGGGTTCGAATCCACTCAGGGCATGGATGTTTGTGTGTGTTTTTCTGTGTTTGTCTAGAGGTAGAGGCCTTGCGAAGAGCTGATCACTCGCCCAAGGAGTCCTACCGCATGTGTAAGATCTAGTAAACCGAGGTGAAACGGAGAGTTTCATGGAGGTAGGCCTAGGCCCAAATTGGGGCTGTAGCACCACAGAAGAGAAAAACGGATTTGATCAACGCGTTGTCAGGCAACAGCTCTGTAAACACGGTCCAACAAGTAACAATAGAGGAAGCTGTGTTTTCCGTGTCTGCGGTGACGTCACACAACAGTGGAGAGAGACCACGTGACTGACGTGTTTTCTGTGGATCCGACCGACGCGCCAAAAGACTAGCTAAATAGCGATCACATGATATATGTTTAATGTAGGTCCATGTCCATTCCGCGGCTATATAAGAGAGTGACAGAATTCGTTCAAGGCAGTTACAAGTTACGAGTCAGTCGTAAGCTTGAGGAGTTTATGATAGTTTTCAGTTGAGTTCCGAAGTTCCAGAGTGACTGAACAACAAATGACAAGGAGACTTCATAGTCATTTTAAGTGCTAGTTTCTGTGTTGAGATCTGTTGCCAGGAGACGACTAATGGAAACTGAGAACTCCAGTGCGTGTTCAACGGTGAACTGTAAAGTGAGTAAAACAGCGATAGCGCTGTATTAATTATAATTAAGAGAGATTGTAAACGAAGTGCTAATAAATCCAATCATTCATCAGATCTAGAATATTTTCTTAAGGGACCAAAAGTAACATGGAATATGCGATCTCCGGGGCGAGATCTGAAAAGAGGAACTGCAAAGGACGAAGCATGGTTTCTATCACTCAACAGTGAAGTTAGGTTAACTCAAGGAGGACTGAAGAGGAGAGACATGTAGCACGCATGACAAAACAGAAAATAAACACAAAATTATGGTCAAGACACCTGGAAGAAGATCACACGGGAGAAGCCGACGTACATGGAAGGAGTATATTAACATACATGACAAATATGGAAAGTGCAAGAATTTGGACTGAATTTAAGTGGATGAGAATAGAAAAGAGTGGAGTGGTTTTGTGGATACGGTAATAAACCTTAGCTTTCCAAAAAGGGAATAATTTATCTACTACCTTTCAAATTACAAATTTCTCAAGAAAACTAATAAGTGTCTTTAACCCTTAAAAGCATGATGGCGATTATTATATACTGTCTCCTTTCACGTTAATAAGCAATTAATTTTGTCCAATTATTCTGCTTATGTGTTTCATACGGTTCTCGGACTAAACAGCAATTATTACCCAAAACTTCACTGACCGATTGACCTTTGTAACGGAGACGCTTCGTGTTTTCTGTGAGGGAGGAAGCAACTATTTAAGTAATAATTAGAAGTAACTTTGCTTCGAAAATCTTCCTGCTTATAATAAACGAAGGGAAGACATTACTGTTAGACCCAGTATCGAAGCTTCATGTCAATTGTACTGACAATTGAAACCAGGCGGTAGGCAGTTCCGGTTGTCTTCCTCCCTTCGTGTTTCAGAGAGTTACAGAAAATGGTAATTATGAGATACAGTCTTATACAGGAGAGTTACGTAATTATCACCATTTTTCTTGTCACTTGAAATTATCTTAAGACAAAATGGTGTGCCCTTCCCACAGTATGAGAAATTGAGGTGAACATGAGGACCTCCCAACCTTTCCCTGCCGTACAAATGCCTTCCGCCTCGCCAAATAACTGTGAGGACATATTTTAACGATGCGTCAAGTTTTTCCTCTACGCCCCCGCCCTCCAGTTGTGACATTTTTGTGAAAGTCATGAACGTGTTGTGGTGTGGGGTCACGATCCCAAGATTAGCTTGGGGAGAAACTCGCGGGTGGCAGATGTTTTGTGAGGTCCAGGAATGTCTTTTCCGGAGACGAAACTGCTGTGGGATGAGTGGGGGTGGGTCTATGGGGATGCACAATTAAAATCAGTTCCAATTTGGAATGCAACCTCAATTCGCCAAATGAAAGCACAATGGGGTTCTTCTGATGGAAAGTCTCGGGTTCGATTCCCGATGAGGTCACTATATTTTTCAATAAACCTAATCCTTCCAGCAGCACCATGGCACTGGGGTCGGCTCAACCTCTAACAGAAATGAGTACCAGGAATCTTCATATGGGGTAAAGGGCGGCCGACAACCTCACAGCCATCTGTGAGCTGATTGTCTAGCAAATGTTTGAGCCCCGACGTCTCACAATTCTATAGACCTCCACAACCTGTTACAGGATAAATTTACCTTTTTCTACCTAACCAGGATAGCCACACACAGGATCATGGATATGTACAATGAATACCTGCGCCTGCGCAACATCAGACAGTGACGACAGGTAGGGCAGTGGAGGTCCAACTCCATTCATTCCGCAACTCAGAATTAGATGCGTCGCTACTGGACCATTTAACTCTTGATACAAAGCTAGATGGATTTCAGGACCAACAAGAACGCGGTTAGGATGAGACGAATTCGTGAAAAGCGATGTATTCAGTGATGATGAGGCTCCATGTAGTATACGAGTATGCTACGTACATATTCCTCCCATCTGTCATACATGCAGCCTTCTCCCACCTCTCCACACACACACACACACACACACACACGCTGAAAATGTGGGCCTTCCCAAGCTTCCATTTATTTACTCCTTCGATTTTTTTTATTGCTAGTGGGGTGGGACTAAGTCCCTTGTACTGCGGCCACTTCTGGCCTATTGTACCAGCCCCAGATGATAGGTGAGGGTGATTGTGGAGCAATTGGTGGAATGAAGATTGGCAGGGGAAACCGAAGTA